TCTCTCTCTCTCTCTCTCTCTCTTTCTGTGTGTGTGTGTGTGTGTGTGTGTGTATGAATCTATCTGCAGTCTTCTACATGGCAGCATCCAGTTATGCCAACACCATTTGTTAAAGATACTTTCTTTATTCCATTGTATAACTTTAGCTTCTTTTTCAAATATCAGGTGTTCATAGGTGTGTGGGTTAATATCAAGGTTTTCAACTCTATTCCATTGGTCTACCTGTCTATTTTGTGCCAATACCAAGCTGTTTTCAGGAGTATAGCTCTATATTATAGCTTGCAATCAGGGATGGTGATGCCCCCTGAAGTACGGCTATCCTGGGTCTTTTGTTTTTCCATATAAAGTTGAGAATTATTCTTTCAATGTCTGTGAAGAATTGTGTTGGGATTTTGATGGGGATTGCATTGAATCTGTAGATTGCTTTTGGCAAGATTGCCATTTTTACTATGTTGATCCTACCTATCCAAGATCATGGGAGATCCTTCCATTTTCTGGTACCTTCTTTAATTTCTTTCTTTAAAGACTCAAAATTCTTATGATACAAGTGTCACTTTTTTGGTTAGCTTTATCCCAAGGTTTTTATATTGTTTGTGGCAATTGTAAAGGGTGTTGTTTCTCTGATTTCTTTCTGAGCACATTTATCATCTGTATATAGTAGCCCACTGCCACCTTCTTAAATCACCACAATTACTAAATGTTTCCTATATTTATAAATATGTATGTTTTTTACAATTTATCAAGAAATTTGTCTTTGAGACAGAGACCATCACAGAAAACTATAACCAATCATAGTGCAGAACTGTGGAGCTCAGTACCAATGGATACATCTGCAAGAAAAGCTCCTGCACCAAAATCTCAGGGAACACTGGAGAAGGTGGGGCATAGAGATTGTCAGAGCAAAAGTATAAGGGATTTGACTATGAGACTGCTCCTCTTATTAATGTCAGCTTATTTATTAAGCTACACCATAAAGTCTCACCAACATGACTGTCCAAACATAAGCTGAACAAGGACAGCAGCAATAAAAATGCCAAAGTGTGCAAAAGTCCATGAAGTCTCAATCACAAAAAAGTAAATGCAGCTAAGGGATACTGAGAGAAGAGATCACTTTCTCCAGGGGAGGGCATACCAGTTGATTATCCAGTATTGTGTTCTACCCTGAAAATGGACATACAAGTAACATTATAAGAGTGAAAAGGTGATATTTAGGAATACATGTATATACATGCATGCAAATAACAATTATTGAAAAAAGAGAACAGGAATTTGAAAGAGAGCAAGGAGAGGTATACAAGAGGGTCAGAGGGAGTGAAGGGAAGTGGTAATGATATATTACAATATCAAAAATAAAATAAATAATGAAAATGGCTTTGCTTTACCTAATAAATAGAAATTGTCATAATTAAGGCATAGACAAAGTACCATAATCATACAGATGGCTGAAAGCAGATTTGCCCACATTTAAATGTATTATGTATAAACAAGATACACATTCCATGAATATTTAATTAAATTTTTCATATGATATATTTTGGCGTTTTTTCTCCAAAGTCCACCCAGAACCATGCACAATTTCCTACTAATCCAACTTTGTATTCCTTTTTCATTTTTTGACTTTTAAAATTCTTTTTATTTTTAAAATTATAAGATATAATTACATAATTTCCCCTTACCTTTCCTCCATCCAAACCATTTTTCATATTCCCTTCCTCTTTACCAAATTCAAATTCATGGCCTCTTGTATTTATTAACTGTCTTTGCACTTACATGTGCATATATATTTTAACCTACCAAGTCCAATTTGTATTGCCCACATAGGCATATCACATTCTAAGCCAGAAAAACATCATTTTTATAATGTCTACAAACTAATATACATATGATTGACAACACATAAAATGCCCCCTCCCTTATGTCTTCCTATATATTGAAGGGAAAGAATGAGGTTTAGGGATATTTGATCATGCTGTGAAACTGAATGTGTATTGATAAAATTAACCTTGGAACAGGGGATAAAGACAGAAACTAACAAGAATTAGCCATAGAAAATACAAAGAACCCAGGAAGATGGATAGAGAGATGCACAGGAAGCAGTAGGGAGAGACTTCAGGATTCATGGCCCTTTTGGTGTGTGGGGGGGCAGGTGGAGAGAGTCTAGCTTGCAGGGTCTCGGGCCAAAAAGGGCACCAGGTTGCTTCTTGGCTACTCTGAACTAGCAGATTGGACTTCAGGATTCATGGCCCTTTTGGTGTGTGGGAGGGCAGGTGGAGAGAGTCTAGCTTGCAGGGTCTCAGGCCAAAAAGGGCACCAGGTTGCTTCTTGGCTACTCTGAACTAGCAGATTTTTCACACCAATATTTCATTCCCCATCCTTTATTGGTAAATAGAACAAGTAGATTAGAACAACCGAATGGGGAAATTGGACAAATCTACAAGACAAAAATAAAATACGGTTTCAAATATTCTTTGTCAAGCCTTGTCTTGTGTGACACAACAGGCTCTGGGTTCATCATGGTCTGTAAAGAGCTCTCAAGGGTAGGTATGGGCAAAGGGCATAGTATAATGAAACTTTCAAAATGAAGTTTATTATTACCACATTGTTGACCTCTGCTGGAATGGAAGTAATAGACTCCAAGGTCCTAGAATTTCTCTAAAACTCTGACCAAAAACCATGAGCCCAATTTTGCCTTTCTTAATTCTATTTAACATTTAAAACTAAGAATTTTTCTCCTGGTAAAGCTAGTCTTTAAATTAATAACCAGGAAGAAAACTTGGCAACTATTATTTCAAAGTTCCAAATCCTGAAGGCTATAGAGATAGAGGCTAGAAGAAGCAGAATTGGACCTTATGAAGAAACTTTTAAAGAAAGAATTCTGTGTTGCTTAATTTTGTGTATGGCCCGAGACTGTTAAGCTCAATACCATCATATCATTGGCACTTATGAACAAAAGATTGATGACCAGGTCAGTAAGTAGCTTCAATGGAACTAGAACAGTAAGTCTAGAAGAGACAATATGGATTGGCACAGCAGACAGAGGAGCCAGCAGTTATGTATTGGAGGATATATAGGGAAAGGTAGTAACATGTCATTCAAGATGTTATGGTATGGATGACATATCTCCTGTCTCCCAGAACTCCCTAAAAAATATATTCTCATAACACCTTAACATTTCTTAGAACTTGGTCTCTGAATATTTCTCTTTTTTAAGATTCTTAGATGAGGCAAAAATATAATTCTTATTTCCATTCCCCACTAATGAACATTTTTTAGGAAAAGTAAAGTTGAAGCTCCACTGAAATAGGAGATATTATCTCCCTTGAATTTCAAAATGATGGGGTAAGCTATCCCATGTTATTATTGATATTTCCAGATTTATGATCTTGTTTCCTCTTTTTTTCTGTATTTTATTATATTGGGTATCTATTCATCAATATATTAAATCAAACAGTCAAGGGAACGTACTCTACTGAGCAGAAGTGCAAATTAGCATAAAGGAAAGATGGTCAAATGACCAGCCTAAGATTGGGGTAGAGACAAATCTAGAAATCATAGCAGTCAAAGACAGAGGAGTAGGTGCTTCAGACTGAGGATCTCAATATCACACAGACAGGGAGTATTGGATCTGCTGCCAAAGTGAGACAGAAAGGGGAAAGATGGCTCTCACTTTTATCCACACTTTTATCCACAGGGCATAAAAAACCCTGTCAGATACTGCTGACAGAATTCTGAGAATGCAGAAAACTAGCACAAAGATAAGAATTTATCTGGTCTGCAGCTCAGATAATCCACACAAGGCTTTGGAAAGCCAGAAATGTTATTCATTAAGTTTATAACTAGAACTTATAAAGGTAAATTCCACTGGAGACTGTCCATCAGAATAGACAGGGCTGTTAGTTTTACATTCCTTCTAATACACAACATAAGGGGGTCAGAATGGAAGTAACAAGAGTGAGGAGTTTAATGAAGGCAGAAATTGGAGGCATGAAGTTGGAGAGGAGGAAAGGAGTCAAAAGAAAGCTATTTTTTATTTAAAGTAAATGCCTGAGTAATTCCCTCTTAAAAAGATATTTAAAAGGTAGATAAAGACTTAGAACATCTTGAAACTTGCAAAATGTCTGTCATCAATACATCATCTCAAGAACTGTCCAAGGAAGAATTTCTGTAAGTAGACATAGTTTTCCAAATCAAATGCTGCTTGTCTTCATGTAATTGAGTTTTCATATGTAAACCAATAAAACAGGATCTGTATCATACATCATACACAAAAATCCAGTCTAATGTATTACAGCCATAAATGTAAGATCTGAAACTGCAAAAGTTGGGGTTGGGGGTTTGGGTGGAATTTTAAAAATTACCTGATAATAGTGGGACAATGCCTTTACCACATGTTGGGGCCCTATATTTTGGAAATCTATTCCACCCTATCACAAGTGTGAGAGAGCCCAGAATTTCTACTGTCTTCTAGATGTCAGCTAATGGCTGCTGGATGTCCTGGCCAGGGAGAATGACTCCTATCTAAATAACAATAGCCTTTGGCCAGGGTGAGTCTATACCCAACTTGAAGGCTAGTGAGATTTGCTGGTGTGGGGTGCCTGAGGGCTTGAGTATGTGCAGCAAATGAGTGCCTTTAGGATTAAGGGAAATAATTGCTATTAGCCCTTCTGCCATTGCCCCCACCTTTGGATGGTTACTCAAGATGATGCATCAATAAACTGGGTGCCTTCCATATTAACTGATTGCCCTCCTGATATGATCAGATGTCTCTGTCTTTTCCTTAATGTTGGGTAGCTAGCTTTCTCTCATCCACACTTTCCCACTCAGGGTCAGGCTTAGGGACATTTGGCTAGTTCCACTCACAGCACCAAAGACATCAGTCCATGATACCCACATACCATATTCTACCAAATAAAAGCTCATTCCTAGGTACGTGGTACCTACCCAGGGACATTTGGCTAGTTCCACTCACAGCACCAAAGACATCAGTCCCTGATACCTACATACCATATTCTACCAAATAAAAGCTCATTCCTAGGTACGTGGTACCTATTTTTGATTTGTTGCTCAAAAAGGTCCTATAGACCTGCTCAAATATTACAGGCAATTGCCATTGCTCTTGGTTACCCTCCCAAATTGGACAGTCAAATCTTCCCATGAAAATACCAAGTATGTGAGCCATAGGACATATCATTCCACATTCTTATATCATCTCTTTAAAACTATTTCTTTCATTTTTTGAGATTATAATATAATGACATCATTCCCCTTCCCTTTTCTCCCTCTAAATCTTTTCAAATATAGCTCCTCCATCTTTATAAAATGGACTCTTTTTACATTAATTGCTATTATTAATATGTATATATTTTTTGTAATCACATAACTTTTTCAGTATATGTAATATTACATCTGTTTATGTTCTAATGCTAACCATTTGGTATTGAAAATCAGTATGGTCTTCTCTGAGGAGGACTATTTCCTTTGTTCTAAGTATTTTTTAATAGTCTTTGTGTAGTTTTTTGTGTAGGGTTGAGGACCCTGGACCCATATATATTATCATGGTTGTTGTTCAATTCATATTTAGGCAGTCATGTTGGTAATAGGTTGGACTAATTGGACTTGATGGCTTTTAAGTATTAAAATATGGGAGTTTCTCAAAGATACAGTAGTGGATGTACATAGATGTATAGGAGGTAAGACCCAGATGTGTCTTCTTTTTTACTGCTATATCATTCAACATATGAAACATTCTCTAATGACCAGTTCATTCAATATAGATATCACGTGGATAAGAAAAACACTCCTTCTTCAGAACCACCCAATATGAAATTCTTGCTATATTATGCTACAAGTGAAAATGTTAGAATTAACAACAATATGAATTTGTTAAAAGACTTAAATCTAGATATTGAGAAAAATAAAAAGTATAATTTATATAGATGAATAATTCAGACAAGAGCGAAGCACAGTGATACCCAACAAAAAATTTATATGCCACAAAGATTGCTTCCTTTCTCTTTCTCTAAGAAACCATATTTAAAAAAAATAAATGTGTTACTTCAAACAGCTTATTTTCATAGGGATCATTTAAACTTGAGGGGAGTCAAATGCCCATCTGTAGAATCAGAGAAGAAAATTGCCCATGAATTTCACATCGTCCTGAGGGGCATACCAACTATGACATCACTGTGAACCTGGCCCAAGCACTGTGGTCCTTTAGGACTGACTCTCAAAAGTGCAGTGTGCAATCTAAATCCAGAGAGTCCATGGATATTATTGTTTCAACATAAAACTCAGTGTTTTCCTGGTTCTGTTAACACTAAGTATTGGTGGTTGAGGTCTAGACAAGAGATTTCTGAGACAATAAACAACCACGGTTCAGGAATTTATTTTTCTGCTTCTGAAAACTGAATTATTTCTTTTTGCCAAAGCAGATAAATGTTACTAGAAATTGGAATGTAGGATATGTAATAGAAAATAGCCCTCTAGAAATACTTTGTTTTTTCTATCAATGTCTTTTATCTTGATGTCAAACTTAAGTACTTCTAGATTTGTTCTCACTGGATTTCCTGGCATGGAAGTTTATTATTTATTGTTTGCCATTCCTTTCTCAACAACCT